GCTTGCCCACGACTGATTATGCTGAGAACACAAGTGTTTTGCTGGAGGACAATGATTCCATGGTCATGCAAGTATCCTCTGAATGCATAGATGCCTACTCGGTGCTTAAAGATCCCTTGACATTGAGTCAAGCGATCCAAGACGGTCATGTAGACAAACTCATCGGGTTGGTGCAGGATCCATCATCTGACAGGGAAGTGTGCCTTTCCGGGGCTGTAGCGAGTCGCTTGATAGACGAAGACAGATCCTTGCTTCGCTCGGATTCAATTGGGACTGGACTCAATGATGTTGATAAAATGGACTGCCTCACTTCGACGTTGTCGATGGCTGCTCTGCCTCCAGCAGGGCTGACTCCTTTAGACTCACAGACTTTCAAGGACAAGATAGATGAATTGAAGGAGCCAGATGCGTTGATTAAGGTTAGCTCTTCTCCCACAAAAGTATTTGAAATTGAGTCTCTTGTACCATGTCCACATTTCGCACCTTGCGACTCTTCTTCAGATCAGTGCAGTTTGTCCATTTCTGAGAAATATTATGGCAAGCAAGATATTTCGCCTCCAGGTAGAGAGAATTTCGAACCAACTGGATTTCCTGTATTTGACAAATTTGACCTCTCTCTGAGTGATCTGTATGTGACGTCTGGCCTGATTAGTGATTCGGTGGAGTTGTCCAAGTCGATACCACTGTCATCCTCAATCTCACCTTTTTCTGGCCGTTTTCCTGGCGACTCTTTACATATTGTTGATGATCCTACTTCTTTCTTCACTCTTTCTCCTATTTCTTCATCTGTTCATTCATCTCTCTTTTGGACGCCGCAATTATCTCAAGTATGTTTTTTTTTCATACGATTAATTTTTTCCCCTGTGTCCTTTTTAACCCTTATTTATTCATTTTTTATTTCTTTACCTTAATTTCTTCAATTTACTCTTCCTTTTTTACCTTAATTTTTTTATATTCATTCTATTCTTTCCTTTAATTTATTTTTTCTTTTATGCTCTCTTTTAATTCTTTATTTGCCTTATTTTCTGCAACATTATTTTCGCATTTATTTTATCACATTTTTATTATGCTCTAATTTTATTGCCTTTTCATTTCTTATTCTCTTCTAATACTTTTTACCTCACTTTATTCTTTTTTTTTTATTTAGTCCATCCTAAACCTGCCATATTGCATGCATTTTGCTGCTTTTATTACAATTTTTCTATTTTTTTCATTCTACCTTTTCGTTGCTCCTTCATCTTTTTTATTATTTGCTAACTCTTCTTTAGTTTCATTTTATTTATCATTTATTGTTTCTTTTTGCTATCATTTTTTTTCGATTATATATTTTCATTTGTCATCTATATTAGCCTGTTGAATTTAGCTTATATAACTTATTTTATTTTTTTATTAATTTCCTTTCCCATCGGATTTCCTGGTCCCAATTTACAAAGTTATTGCATATCAACGGGTCATTTTCTAATAGTAATTAGTCCTCCTTTCCAACTTAGGCTCAATTTAAGAGTTTTTTCTCATATTTTTCAGTTGTTCATTCTTCATTCAGAAGCTTTTATCAATATAATTTCAATTTACTTTACTTGTATAGAAGTTTTCGCAACTTGGTCGGGATGATAAGGAGGAACAGATCTAGTCCGGAGTCCATAGTTTGCATGATATTTTCCAGAGTTGGTCCATGGACTTAGTTCTTTTCCAGACATTTCGCAAGCATTGTCTGTGAGCCCTGCCATTCTTAGCTCCACACTTAAACTCGTTAACGAGACAAAAGAAATCTCCTTTGATCAAGTGTGTGCTAAACTGTTGTGGTATCTCTCCTTCTGTCCTGGGCTATTCACCTATCCTATATCCTTGTATCGCCTGGATTGCTCGGCAGTCCATAGCTTCAAAGGCGGCAACCGTGAACAGAAGTATATTGGTGAAACTGGAAGCAAAATTGGCCTATGAGTCAAGGAACACCAAAGACTGCATATAAATGGACACGGATAAATCCAAAATAGTGGAACACATCGCACGAACGGTATACGTAATCGAGTGGAAATCGGCAGAAAGGCTGGATGCATATGGTGAAAATACAGGAAAACGCAATATTCGAGAAGCCATCGATACGCTGACTGAATAAATCTAATGAACATGAGACTTAAAGAAGGTAGGATTTGCGAAAACTTTGTATCATGGGACAGCTATAGCGGCAAAAAGAAGACTGGATTAATATAATATTTTTAATTTTTGGAAAAGAAATTACCGAGAACAGAAAGGAAGTATCGGAAGGCAAGAGAAGTTGTCTACAGTGAGTCTATTTAAATCAAGTAGAACCATCACATTTGAATTTTGCCATACACCAGAAATCTCTTGTTTCATAATTGTTAAGCTTACTTCCATTTCGAGTGAAAGTATTGGGTGAAGAGATTCGAAGGTCGGTTCCACCAGAA